GGCAGGACAAACTTCTCGCCACGCTGTACGATAAGAAGCGTTATGTCATACACTACGGCAACCTACAGCAATGCACGCGCCACGGTCTTCGCATCACAAAAATTCATCGCGTATTACAATTCGCTCAATCTCCATGGCTCCGCAATTACATCGAATTTAATACAAAATTTAGAACACTGGCCAAAAACGATTTTGAGAAAAATCTGTATAAATTGATGAACAACGCGGTTTTCGGGATAACGATGGAGAACGTTCGAAATCACGTTAATGTAAAATTATTATCAAAGTGGAAAGGTAGATACGGCGCGGAGGCACTGATCTCGAAACCAAATTTTCACAGCAGGAGCGTTTTTTCAAAAAATCTGATAGCCGTTGAACTGCGAAAACTCGAGGTTAAATTTGACAAACCTATTTACGTCGGCATGTGCATTCACGACATATCGAAAATCTGTTTGTACGAATTTCATCACGAGTACATGTCTCCCCTGTACCGCGACAAGTGTAGAATTATGTACATTGATACGGACAGTCTGATATATCACGTAGAGTGCGAGGATGTGTACAAGAACATGAAACGCGATATCGCTAAATTCAACACAAGCGATTACGCGATCAACAACGCGTACGGTATCCCACTCGCCAATAAAAAAATTACGGGCTTGATGAAAGATGAAAACAACGGTGCGATTATGACCGAATTCGTCGGACTCAGGGCAAAGATGTATGCCTTGCGAGTGGACGGTAAGAAAGACTGTAAAAAAGCAAAAGGTGTTAAGAGCAATGTCGTAGCCAGGTCGATAACGTTCGACGATTCCACGAGGTGTCTGCAAGACGAAATTGAAATGAAGCGACAGCAGGCTTGCATAAGGTCCGAAAAACACGAGGTGTACACCGTGTCCGAAACAAAAATTGCTCTGAGTCCGTACGACGACAAGCGATACATTATACCTAATTCGACCGACACGTTACCGTGCGGACATTATCAAATACCTTTGTAACGTGTGTATAAAATGTATAACGTATGTATTGTATAACGTATGTATAGTATAACGTATGTACAGTATAACGTATGTATAGTATAATGTATGTACAGTATAACGTATGTATAGTATAGTATAACGTATGAATGTATGTAGTAACGTATTGTGAGTATTATATTACAGTATTGGAAAGAATATTAATAAATAAATATATTGCACACATATGTGTATTTCAAACATTTACATGTATTACATATTGCATATTTTTATGTTATAAATTGTTCGCGAAATCGCTGATTAATCCCGGCGATGGAAGCGGGATGAAAAGGACGCGCGTGGAAGGTGTTAACTAAATATTCATTTTATTTTTGTGTAACTCAGACCACAGTCTGAGCCGTCTTTAATGCGTCTTTAATGCGTTAAAATTGATACAATCTGAGAGTGATGAGCGGTGAACAAAATGAGATGTCTATATAGTCCGTGTAAATGAGAGGCAATTATATTAATTGCCGTCCTCTTCGATGAATCGCCCGTGAGCCGGTGAGACACGTGGCGGTCGGCACTCGCGCACATGTGAGTCTGAGTCGTCGTGTTGATGTACCCGAGTAGAGCTGGATGAGCGGTCGCTTTACATGTTAATGCAGTATCTCGGCAGCTGTAATCACTGCGGTGGGCACTTCAATGTGTAGTCACAATCGAAAAAGCACAGAGCACACGTCGTGCGTCTGATCACTGCGCGGCCATTTGTACAACTCTGAATCGCGAGGAAGACGTTGGCGATGAGCGCGCCCGTGCGGGCGCAAGCTGCCGCGGTGATCTAGCGTCGTTACCCGATCGATGCTGCCATCTGATTTGACGGCGCAGCGTTAACGGAATCTCGAACATTCCGCCCGCCATCAGCAACCTTGTTGATGATTCCTTACTCTTGATCTTTCATCCGGTTGAAATGGGCAATATGGCAAGCTTGGCACTTGACCGAGTGAGTGTCGTGGTGGCCGTCTTGAGGGTAACCACCCTGGTGAGTCTATCCTTGCCGGGGTGCAAAGCTGTTACTCTGGCGAGTGGCCATTTGCACGGTGGAGAGCGTTCGTCGGTGAGCAGCACGATGGACCCCACCTTGATGTTGTTGTTAGGATAAAGCCACTTGGATATCGCCTGCTGGCGTTGCAGATAATGAGCCGACCATTGTGCCCAAAAATGTTGAACGCGCTGCTGGATGAGCTGCCACCGAGATAGTCGCGAGGTTGCTAGGTCAATCAGAAATGGCTCGGATATGGTAGTGAGTGGACCTCCAATGAGGAAATGACCTGGTGTGAGCGCTGAGACGTCTTCAGGGTCGTCACTCAACGGTTCTAAAGGCCGCGAGTTGAGAATGGCCTCGATTTGCGTACGCAACGTTGTAAGTTCTTCCGTTGTGAGTAGAGTCTCCCCGATAGTCCGTCTCAGATGAAACTTCACCGATTTCATCACCGCCTCCCACTTGCCCCCCATGTGTGGAGCGCCTGGTAGGTTGAACTCCCATCTGGTGCAATCATGTTGTAGAATTTGAGCGATTCGTTGATGTTCTTGGGAACTCTGGATGAACATTTTCTTAAGCGCGGCGTCTGCTCCAATGAATGTTGTCCCGCAGTCCGAATACATGGTCTGAGCAATTCCCCTTCTGGCTGAGAATCTTCGGAAGGCTGCTATGAATCCTTCTGATGAGTAGTCACTGACTACTTTGAGGTTAATTGCGGAGGTGGAGAAGCAGACGAACACACAGATCCATCTCTTGTATGTTTTCGCACCTCGTCTTTTCCATGTTTTGATGGTGAGCGGTCCGGCACAGTCAACTCTTGTATGAGCAAACGGACGTGACGGCGTAACCCGAGAGAGAGGTAGTTGGCCTATCAGTTGATGAGCACGGATCCCCCTCTGCCGAGCACACCGACACACCGTAAAATATGAGACTTCACCGAAGCCCGTCCGCCGATGATCCAGTATTGGTGCCTGACATAAGCCAATGTCAGCTGTGTTCTTCCATGCAGGGTACGCAGATGGGCGTGTGCAATGATCAAGGTTGAGAACCGTGAGTGGCGAGGCAAAATCGCCTGATGTTTGTTGTCTTGAGCTAGTGCTGATTGGTTGAGGCGGCCGCCAACTCGGATGATCCCTTGAGCGTCTATATACGCAGTCAATCGACTGAATGCGTGAGCAGTTGGTAGTCTCGAGTTGGCCGTGAGCATCTTGATCTCGTGCGTGAAGTATGCCGCTTGAGTAGCCTTGATCCAAAAAAATCTGGCCTTCTCCAAAGCAGAGTGCGAGTCCAACAACCCGTCCCAGAACCCTCTCAAGAGAGCGATAAACCTGAAACAGAGAACTGTTACTTTCAATAATTTATTGAGGGTTGAGTACTTGTATATGAGATGATAATCCGGCTGAGATGCAGCTGCATATAGAGCAATGCCAGGACGAGCCTCATGACCGTTCAACTCGTCCGGAAGCGCGGGTTGAGATGGCCATGCTTCAGGTGTAAGAATCCACGGTGGTCCCGTCCACCATAATGAGTGGCTTTGGAGTTGAGAGTACTTAATCCTCGTGATGCGCAGTCGGCTGGGTTGGACGTACCTGGTACGTATTTCCAATGTGCGTTCGCAGTGAGCTCTTGAATTTGAGAAACTCGATTTCTCACGAAATCCTTCCAGCGCGATGCATGAGATTTGATCCACGTGAGTGTCACAACAGAGTCCGTCCACAGGTGAGTTGCTGTAACGTTCAACTTCAAGGTGGCTTGAACGTATGGCATGAGTCTTGAGAGCAGCTGTGCTGCGGTGAGTTCAAGTCTCGGGATGGTGAGCCGCTTGAGCGGTGCTACCTTGGTTTTGGAGCACATCAATGAAATCGTGGCACCATTAGAGCCGTGGACGGTGATAAATACGACTGCAGCCATTGCCAGTTGAGAAGTATCAGAAAAGCCGTGAAATTCCACTGACGAGGTACTCCATGTGGTTTGAGAGGTGTTACCTTGGTTGTACCACCAAAGTATTGAGAGCTTGCAAGCTTGTGAGTTCTTTTCTGATAATGAGCCACCGTGATGAGAGCTGGGATGGCAGTGGTTCATCCCATTGGAGCTTCATGTAGCCAAAACTCCTGCAAGAGCATCTTCGCC